CTTGCATGGGAGGCAGCAATAGCTGAGGCACTAAACCAGGAAAACGTAGTAACATACAAGGAAACAGACAGTAGTTTTAAGATTAGTGAAAAGTCGGGGCCTTCTCTTCCACAGGCTTAATCTCTGCTCCTCAGAGCCTGAGAGGAGGCTGAAGGTGGTGGGAATTCCAGCGAGCCAGACTTGCCCTTTGGTTTCCAAGGGGCAGTTTTCTTCTTGGCCCCAGCTGAGATTGGCATGACAGCTTTCCCTTGAGCTGTGAATTGATGTTTTGTCCGCATCAGTGCCCTGGAGATGTCCGTTCCATTTAACTGTGAGCCGTGTCTGGCCCCTGAGGTTATCTTGGCAACCCCGGCGTGAATTATGGACATTAATGCTTCCTGCGAGTATGTGTGTACAGAAGTGCTATACATGTTATTTTGAAATACTTTCAAGTTAAAATTTGAAAACTTTGACTCAAAAGGCCAGCCAATAGTAGTTCCATCTGTTACTTTTCATTACTTTGCTAAGACTGTTAACTCGACTGGGTTCAGGGAGCCAGAGTACCTATGAGCAAATAAAGGAAAACTCGGTGTCTTCTGGCTTGCAAGAAATCTGACAAGCATAAATTGTCTAGTGCATGTTCTTCACAAAGCTTGAACTCTGTTATCAGAAGAATGTGTCCACTGATTATTTCAAATTCTCCTTTTTTTGTAGACTTCCTTTGTTGTTGATGAAGTCAGTAGCATCATTAAAGAGGTAAATTAACATCTTCATTTTGTTGGTGTGAAAGTGTTGTATGCTGTATGCGAAAAGGCATTCAGGAAAATCTGATAACTGATAGGTAACAGATTTCTAGACAGGTTATTGTATGCTGTGTGCGAAAAGGCATTCAGGAAAATCTAACTGATAGGTAACAGATTTCTAGACAGGTTGCTATCAAAGTATAGGTAACTGTTGATTCAACCAATGTGCATAGTTTTAGTGTAAATGTTACCTAGCTTTAGTTGTGGTACATATTGCAAATCCAAAAGATAATTAAAATTATTTCATATGCCCCTCTCTGGTTGCAGCATATCCCTGTTAGAATTTCTAGGGAGATGTTTTATGTTAAACTCTAGAGAGAGAGTCTTTATGTTTCAGTATCATGTAGGGGTTTTCTGTAGGCTGCCTGCATATCCATGTTACTGTGTTCTTTTAGGATGCTTTTTCTCCAAAATGAGTTGTTTGTTTGAAATGATTGAACTATTCTTGTTCCTAAGAAACATGAATTTCCTGTCTAGAAAATTTCCAGAGGAATTTGGGTTTTGTGTCCAGAATTCCTCTTAAAAGAGTAAAATAGCACAGTCTTTTTCTTGTTGCAAAGCAATTGTTTTGGTCAGACTCTGTCAATTGAATACTACATGCTTGGATGCATGTCCCTGTCTCTTCTGAATCTGAAATAATTTTGTGGTTATTTTTTTAAACAATTTCTGCGAGGAAAAAATACCTCAATGAAAAACATGCAGCTTTAATGTACTTTTATTTGCTCTTAAAGCAGAAACTATCCTCATAAGTAAAATAGATTATTTGGCTGAAGGCTCCTGCTCTATTAGGAACCAGCAACTACATGGGTCTCTTGTTTTGATTTGGGGTTTTGTTTCCCAAAACTGACTCTGCTGAAAAATCTGAAGTTCGTTTCCATAGAAGACTATGTGTGAGTGAGCTGTTATGTGCATTTTTTCAGTCTCTTCAGGACTGTTTAAATGCAAGATCCTTTTTGTAACTCTGACTTCAGGACATGGGGATAGGAATTACAAATAATCAGAATATCACAAAATGAAGAGGGGATGAGATCTATGATAACTTCCTCTATGCCTGGCTCAAGCTCTAACCTGCAAGTTTTTCAGTAACTGGAAACACTTCCAACAGTGGACAAGCAGCATTTAGGGGTTTTTTTGGGGGGTGGGGTCTCATCTTTAGAGCCCCGTGTTGGAATGGGTTCATGGGTGCCTTGTAGTTTGACAGCAGTGCAGCTGTGTCGTGTTTGTCACCCCTAGGCCATAGAAAGCGCGATAGGTGGCAATGCCTACCAGCACAGCAAAGTGAACCAGTGGACAACAGGCGTGGTGGAACAAACGCTGAGCCAGCTCACAAAGCTGGGGAAGCCTTTCAAGTACATCGGTGAGCTCAGCCTTCCCTTCCCTGGTACAGCGGGTACGGTCACGTGCACAGATGGCTGGGAGGGGGTAAGACCTTAGCAAGAGCCGGGTCTCTAAACTACTCGTAAGCACGTATATATGCATGTGTGTGTGTACGTATTAATAAAAGCTTCTCTACTAACAGTGACCTGTGTGATTATGCAAAAGAATGGTGCTGGGCTACATACAGCAAGCTCTTGCTTCTGGGACAACTCCAGTGATGGTAAGGAGCACAACTAACTGGTGGATTTTTCAGCTTGCAACTCTAATGCTAGTCCCTTTAAGACTAGGCAGCGTACTTCTCTTTTTTTGCAAGTGCTGTAGTTCGGAGTACTAGCATACAGCTTGGTATTTTTTCTGTTTGGCCGTGATGCAAACCGCTGTCTATGAAGCGCTTAGCTGTTGTGAAAGTTTCATTCTTAAGATTCTGAATGTAAACAATGACAGACATGCATGCAAGGTATGCATTTAATCACTGTAACTTTCCTGTCTCTGAAACCCTTTTTTGTGTTTGTAGGAACCTGCACTGTGAGATGGGAGAATAAGACTATGTACTGTATTGTCAGTGCCTTTGGACTTGCAATATAATTGCCTTGAAATCATTCATCCTTCTGTTTTCTACTCCAGCACTTGATTCCATCTCTACTGAAACTGTGAATACACTGAACAACTTCTGGTTTTAATGTACTTTTTAAATAACTTTTTTTTTCAAACGTAGAAATGTGAAAACATGCTGTTACACTATTATGTTTGTACTTAGTATCGTGCCAGTGTTGCCATGCTGTCTTAACACTTCAAGAACTTCTCTTCAAGGTGCTAATACTGAAATCTGCTGCAGTGTAAACACTTTCTCTAGATTTCTTTTTTAAGACCAATATAAATGCGACACCGACTTTCACACTTTGTACTCTTGGTTAGCATTAAATTATTGACATTCATAACCATTGGTGTGATTCATTTAAAACTTAACTCTTTTGTTATTAAAAAAAAAAGTTCCAATTCTTTTAATTCTCTTCAAGGTAGTTGAGGTACCAGAATACAAAGCACTGCCGTAATTTTGCCAAAGTCACTACAAAATTGCAAGAATACCAGACGACGTTTATCAGAAAGTAACTTGGCTGCATTTTGTGGGACCTGTTTAATCCGATTGTATGGTATTTAGGGCATGGAACAATAACAGAGATAACTGTCTTCATGGAACAGAGATAAGAAGTTTTTCACATTCTGGAAGTGCTCTGCAAGCTGTACACGGGTCATGGTTCACTGCTGCAGCCAATTACATGTGTTACGTAGGTCTTGAACTTACCTGCTACCGTCTACATTGATGTTGCTGATAGTGAGTGTGATGAGTTCTGACAGTTGGCGAAACATGATCCTTTCCGAAAGGGGGAAAAAACTGCCTGAAGGCGACAGGACTAAATACTGTGTGAGTAAGTCTCCTGCCTCCTAGAGTGAAGTTGCAGATGAATAACAAGTAAAACAAGTTTTCAGCGTAGGCTTGGATAAGGTATTATTTGTCAGCTGACTAAAGAAATGGGAGCATGCTCTGAATTTCAGGTTACCTCTGTAAGTATGTAGCTGCTATGCAGCTTCTGTGAGCAGTAGCTCACTGCTAGTGAAGTTGAAAGAATTACTTATGGAGCAAGTATGGGAGAGTATTCCTGGGCTAGAGTCAGTGACCTCCATGTGCTTATATTTAGGAAGCCGTGTGAAATGTTTTCAGAATCTGGCTCTCAGCTAAAGAGCATAAATCCTTGATCTCTGAATTGCTAAGGAAGTTTTTAATCTGGATGGTTGGATACTTGATCTCCTTTCTAGCAGCAGGCCAGAATGATGCTGGTAGCATAGCACTTTTTCAGCTATTTATTTACATCGAAATGAAATGATGTGGCACTTCAGGACAAGGTTTAGTGGTGAACTTGGCAGTGCTGGGTTAACGGTTGGTTGGACTCTATGATCTTAAAGGTCTTCTCCAACCTGCATGATTCTATGATCTGTAAATGAGCATTACCATCGCTGGTAGTAAAGCAGAAGTTGCGTATCCATTTGCACAGAGGTATTTATCCGGTAGTAAAGCAGGAGTAAGTTGCGTATCCATTTGCACAGAGGTATTTACAGCTGTTTTAGTATGCAATGAGACTTTGGTCTCTCCTCAAGCTTATATAAGCAATGGCGTCACCCCGATCACTTTTGCAGTTTACCAGCTATGAGCAGGCTCTTGGAAGGTACAGAGCTGTAAGAAGGAGATGAAGGACATCAGCATCTTCACCATCTCTAAACCTTTTTCTGTTAACCAGCCAGTGGGTTGAGGGTGGGCAGCCCTCCCTGGGTGTGCTGAGAGGCTGCAAGGCGTGCAGGTTTGGCAGGAAGGTAGCCGACACTAACGTTCACCAGGGGAAGTTTCGCTGCCAGCACGACCGCAGCAGGCTTTGCGAAGCCACTGTTAAGCCCTTTGAGGATGCCAGTTCCTCTTTATAAACTGGCTAGTGTATTTCTCAAGATAATTAGCAACCTGTCCTTCCAACTTCAAGCCCAGGCAGGGTAATAAAAAAAACCCCAAACCAACCCAAAACATAATTCCCTGGTTAATCTGTGCTGACACAGCTTCCTGGATCCCATCCTTATGCAATTAACCAAGTTTAAATATGCATAAGAAAATACATGTAAACTGAAAATCTGTGTAAGTTATTGAAATGGTAGTCACTGACCAGAAGGAAAATAAACCCAAGATACAATATAAAGATATAAAACTTTATTATGAACATATTTAACAATGATTATGCACATGAAGTCTTCCAAGAAACTCAATACCCAACTTTTGGTTGAAGTAAAATACTGTCTTTCAGTAATTACTGGCATAAGCAAAAGAAAATGGGGGAAAAATTGGGTGACTATGGATACAAAGTTGTCTTTTGGCTCAGAGAAAGACAACAGATCAAAGTCTTTCCTAGCTGGAACTGTTCTCCTATGTTCCCCAGTATTAGTGTCACGGGTCTGTTCCTACCTGGTGGTCAGTAGTTAGAAACGAACAGCATCCACTTAAATAAAGAACTGAACCACGGTGTAGGAGAAAACCAACTTTTAAATACAGAAGCAGCAGCATTGTACTAGGAATACTGAATTCCCATATAACTCTGTTCCAGCAGACTGGACTACAGATAATCACAAAACGTGCCAGTAAAAGTTCCGATCGGTACAGGTGTCGGCCGTGGGGCGACAAAGAAGTTGAACTATGCACAGAACATGCTCAAAAGCTAACTCTCATGCACGTTCAATACAGGAGCAACCACGATTGTTCCGAGGATGTAGATTAACTATCTATCCATACAACTTAAGGAAAAATTCTGATGTAGAGAAAGCCTCTGAAAATGAAATGTTTGGAAATTTGAAATTCTAACTCTCTATGAAACTTTCATACTGTATTCTCTGTAAATGTAACAATCTCCTCCAGTGTACAAAAAAACCCCAGAAGAGTACTGGCTTCCTTCTGAGATTGTTGCTGCCTAAATGTTTTTAAACAGCCCTTGCAAATGGAAAAAAGCAAAACAAAACCCAAACCAAACACTTCTGTTGTGGCATGTTATGAAACATGACAGAGTCCAGGGCCTAGACTCTTTTAACAATTACACAAAGGACTTTGCACCACTGAGGCTATTTTGGCTCATTAGAACTTGACTATTTGCATGTATCTTGCACCTACAAATCTGGTAAACTCATTTAAATGAATTTTAAAAAGGGTCTTAAGTCTATATCACTTCTTCAAAGGAAGAATGGAAAGCTTGTGTTTTCTTGCATTAAAAAAAAAAAAAAAGAGAGAGAGAAAACCCTAAAACACTTCATTCCCTGCCTCCAGCTCAAAAGACTAAGGTAGAAGATGGAAAGGGAAATGAGGCACTTCGTGCAGCAGTGGAAAATATAAGAAGGAGCTAAGACAAATGCAGCAGACGAATGACAGTATGCTGTACATAATCCTCAAGTAAAACCCCCCAAAAACCAAGCAGCAAGGAAGCCATTTTAAAATCAGCATATAATCAGTGACACTCCTAAATGGAAATAGTTAAAGATTTTAGTCCACAGACATCCTCTATTAGGCGTTTTATAAGACGTGTAAAGATTTTGGTTTCTTAAGTTTTCACCACAACCTTTTCAAGCATTCTTTTTTTTCAGTTTTAACTTTGTAAACGGAAACAGAAGCAGGATGTCCTTCGTGGGAGTCAGTGTTCAGATGACAGCAGACCGTAAGGAAGTTGTCCATCTAGGAAAACTTCAAAATTGGTTTAACTCCAGCTGAACAAGTCTGTCTACACCAAAATCAATCAATCAATCAATCAATCACTGTCCGATTCCTCTTTATACTTGGCTCTAATAGCTTGGCCGTTCTGAAGTGGCATTTCTTCGTAGTCACTCCTGTGAAACAGATGCTTGTTAGAACTTCTGAACATGGTTTTCAGATAGGAATTCCAAAATAAACAGGGCAGTTCTAAGCTATGTTGAGGCATCAAATTGTTATTTGGGTAAGAAGCTGGTATCTGTTTTCCTTCTTTGTTGGAGAAATGAACAATATGGACGGCTTCCCTCTAGCGGATGATGCACACTAGAAGTTATCCCAGTAACTACAAGCCACTTTTCACAAGGACTGGTACAGAAGCAAGCTGGCACTACTACCACCACTCGTCTAGGCACGCTATCTCGGACAATGCTTATATCCAGTCTAGCACAAACTTGTTCCGTTGTGCAGTGTTAACGCCATCCTCACTGCTGCAGCCACTTCGGTGTCTTTGGTAAGAGGTGAAAACACCAAGGGCAGATAATGGCTTTGTTCAGTGTCTAGCAAGGCACACTTGATCGGGATGGGTTTCAAGTGCTACTATAATTCTCATACAAACTCACACAAGTCCAGGAAGTTTTGCTAGATTTGATCATTCTTATTTCAGTATGGGATGGGCATTTAAGAAGAGCCATTCTCCTTCCCTGAAGCGTTTACATACAAGCTCCCTCTTGGCTAACTCCACCAGACTCCTGCAGTCTTTCCCAGTTTAAAAGGAAGTCCTTGCCTCCCACAGCGTTTGCTCCCTTCACTCCATGACCTACCAGCATCCCAATACTTTCTTACCTGTTTGTATCAGTGCCACAGCAATCCCTTTTGGAAACCAAAAAAAAACCCCAAACCAATGTAACATGCATTCTCATTGCATTTCTGTTTAAGATTAAGGCTATGTTTCTGTTTAGGCAGAATACTTTCACTGACAGCCTACAAATCCTTCACTTGTTTAATGAAGATGGAATAGAACATAACAAAAGTAACACCCCAAAAGTGACTCTCTGTAGGTATTTTATAATCTTACCCATAAATCACATCTTCATCTGAATCATTCAGCATAGAAAAAGCAGGATTGTCTTTCAACTGTGATTCTGGAAAATACAAATAAGGGTTAATTTAGTGCATTAAATATAGAAATGTGGATGTACTTCTAACTCAACACTGGAGTGACAGACTCAACAACTTCCACGGCAGTCACAACTACAATTCAACAAAACTATATCCAAACAGCAATTCTCTCCTTTAAATTCTTCACCCTTCAGCCACATCATGGAATTCTTAAGAGTAATGGAGATGACATAACAATCTCATCTTGTTTTTAGATCGATATTCTCCATGTTGCGTAAGTGGATTTCCTCCCTTGTGCAGTTTCCTATGTCATATTATTTCAACCTGCACATAACAGTAATTATGTTAGACCTCATTATTCTTAATCATTATTCAAAAATTCGTATGTACTTAAAAAGCACAGACGTCTTTACCTTCTGTTTATTTCTACGCTACAAATATAGCAGACCAAAGTTGTAGTCCTTTGTATGCAAATCAGTGATTAGCCAGTTATTTTTCATCCTTGTACCAGACGAAGGAAGGACTTCACAGCGAGATGAAAGGAAACACATACTGTCCATTGGCTATGTATGACAATTCCCTCTACCTTGTTTTAAGGCCTTCATTTCTTGCATAATCTGTGCTGCTTAGCTGCAGTTCATAATTAATACACAAGTAAAATTCAATCCAGCAATTTGCAAACATCTTTTTTTTCTGGCAGCTTTTTACTTCCTGCCTTCTATAAACTAATACTTCTTGCAACCCAACAGCAAGTTTTTAACTTTATCCTCACCCAGCCGTTCCTCTTGTCTGTCCTAATGGAAAACCAGCATTTTTCTGTAACAGTTCCATCCATCTCAACTCTAAAAAGCTGACAGAAAAGACCAGCCCCGCTGTTCAGTGCTTTCCCCCTGCATACCTCTCAGCACACAAGATATGTGACTGGACAGGGTGCTAGATAGTCGCACCTGGGCTCCCTTTCCCATGAAAGGTTCGACCAGATGGATCTTTCCAGGTCCCTTCCAACCTGGGCTGTTCTATGGTTCTGTATTTTAAACTCAGTGCTTAAAGCAGAGAGTGCACTTGGCATAAACATTTATTTTACAGATCTCTATCTGTTAGAGAGGGGTAATGCTTTATAATCATGACGTGAGTCAGATTACATCCTCTACGTAGAAATTCAAAAGCAGAAGTGCCACTGATTCAGTTCCTTATCTCGCTTTACACGGGCCCTGTGCAGCCCTCTCCCCACAGCAAGTTCCCCAAAATTCCACGTTAGATCAGCTTCACTCCTACTTTTCCAACAGCACGTTACCTGTTTCAGAGTCCAGTTTGCCAGCATGCCAATATATTAACCTCTGATGGAACAAAGTACAAATGAAGCATTGTTGCTCCTTAAGGATTGCCTGTGCGTCAGTGCAAAAGTCACTGCATTATATGCAAACATCACGTTGACTATAAGTTTGATCTGACTGTGTAAGAATTCAAGTCCAGCTAATCAGTTGTATACATTTTACACGTCCTTCATATTTCCAGTATTAATTTACTCAGTGCAGCTTCTGCTTATGTTAACTCCAAGGAAATGGAAACAGTAACGAGACAACCAAACGACAAAAATGTTACACAGTGTCTGCTAATATGCCCCAGCTCTTGTCATCGAAGTCTGCCCGACAATTGCTTACACTTACCATATAGCGCATTCTTTGAGGGGGAATACACGAAGGCTAATGTGTAGAGATAAAAGTTCAATAAACCATAAAATGATAAGAATTCTGCTGGTAGTAAGTGTCAAGGATATTGCTCAGTATAGCTCCATACGTACTAACTTTGGAAACAAGACCCAAACCATACAGAAGCTGTTTCAATGTAAAGAATGTTTACCTTGCTGAAGTTTGAGAGCATGAATGGTTCAACAAAACTGCATGTTTTAAATTGTGACAACTAATGTACTCAAGCTATTTCAAGGTAAAGCTCCCACTCAAGACAAAGTTTTAACACAAGTAACATTTGCTGAGATGAGGTCTACTCTTGAGTGGCGGCGTGCACGGCAATTGAATAGTTCTGCCTTTGATGCTAAAAGAAAACTGAGTAAGGGGGGAGTTCAGGTGGTGGTCTTTGTTTATTTTCTAAAAAGTTCTTCCTTGGCATAGCGATTGAGAAGGAAGGAGAAAGGACTATCTGTAGATAGAACTCTGAAGATGGCTTCTGGCCATCATTTGAGGAAAATACTAAAGGTTTGACATATAATTTTCCATTAGCTCCCAACACATATCTAAGCTTATCAGTAACTGCAGCAGTTTCAGTCACACGGACACTTTCAGAAGGCGGATTTAACTGGGATCTCAGGTCCAGAATACAGTTCGTAATCCTGTTGCCAACAGACTTCAGAAATAGTCTCTCTGAAGTCACTTAAATTCTCTGCTATGACCTCTTCCACACATAGACTTGGACCAATACGCAAATGCATTTTCAGTAACTTCTAAACTATTAATTTCTCAAATATTTTGGTACGCCCCATGCCAACTGATAGCTATACAGCAAACTGAATTCATGCAGCAAATACAGCCAAATTTGTCACAACGACTTGTTGAATGCATGCATACCTAGGCCTTCATTCCCTCTGAAGAGTATCAAATGCAGTTGTGATTTATGTGGCAGAAACAAGCTGAAACCATCTCAGCTCATAGTCTTTACAAAGAGCCACTGCAAAACACTAACATGAAACGTCAATCAAAACGGACCAAACTTCAAAAGCCCACCTAGAAGTCAAAGGTCTCAGTTCTTAGGTGCATCATTTTTTAAGTTCCTTCTGCCTGAAAACAGATTAATATTCCTACGTGAGCAGTATCACAACACAAGGATATAATTCTGATAATGAGTCGACAGCTCAGCAACAAAGTTGTCCTGTAGAACTTGTGCTCCAAAGCGTAGGTAGAGTATAACAATGCTGTGGAAAAAAGTTAAAGCACATAGGTGTACTCTGTCTTTAAACCGCAAAACTGAAACAGTAGCTTGATAGAAGAGTTTATGAAAAAATTGTTATGTTAACATGCTGGCCATTTATTTTAAGACACATTTGCTTTCATAGTTCTAAATTAAGAATGATTCTTTTGTGATTAAAAGTTCCACTGAGCAAAGCGGAAATCCGCCCCCCCGCCACCGGCCCCGGTCTATTGCCCTCAGATTTCATCCACTACAGATAATCCAAGAGTCAGCAGTCATTTGAAATAACTACTTGGAGTGGGGGAGACAGATATTAACAATAATCTAAGAAACTAATCCTAAACTTCTCCTTTGACTAAGTGAAGCTTACAAAGTTCCAAAAGATGTGAACGGTGCACTGCAGACCACCCAGCAGTACAGCAAACATCTCTGCTAAGTGAACCTCTAAATCTCGCAGTGTATTGCTGTGGTAATAGAAAGTTAGCTCTAAAAGCCTCAGGAACAGTTAAAAAAATTAAGAAATGATTGCCATAACAATCATATCAAAAGACATTCCTTAGTTTCATTGACGATTTCATTATCAACAAAATGTATTCAAAGCCCTGAAAAAAGGTTGTAAAAGTTACGGTACTGAGCACTGTACTTTGAAAAGCCTTACCTAATGACAAGCACTACAAAGGTTAATGCAGTCAAGAATTTTAACCTGAGATCTGAAAAAGATGGAGAAAAGTGGTTAGCGAATTTACACCTACATCTAGGAGAAGCAAGCCTGTTTGGGGAAGAATCAAAAGAAACATTCCTTACCAACATAAGGCATGTTCCGAAGCTCTGAGCATGCCCGCACTATCAGGAACAAAAGGTAGAGAATGTATGTGGTTGCCACCACAAGGAAGAAGATTTTCATTCCCTATAAGAAGAGGGTTAGTTTTTATTATTTAACAAGATTTGGTCTATTCCTTCTTCCCTCAATAGAAATCATTATTTCCCAAAGCACAGCATAGAATGGCCCGTTTATTCAGGGAAAGTAGGCTTATGAAAGGCTGTATAAAATGAGGATGGCTATACCTCAAGGTAGGTTTTAGAGGAATGCAAAGAAGGGATGTTTAACAGAAGTCATCACTTTGTTCACTTGAGTTCACAGGGAGCTCAATCTCAATGATTTTCTAAAAAAACCAGCTCCTAAGAACAATACAAGGACCTGTATAAATCAGATCTTCCTTTACAACAAGAAGTCTGAAATTTACTAGGACAGAGGATCTTGGCAGGAGTAAAGATGTCCAAAACTGAATAAGAGGCTTAAAAAAATTTTCTTTCAATCTCCAAAGTCATGAGTCCATGACTAAACTTGTGGTGTTCCGTCTCCAGATTTAAAAAAGAATTTACTCTTCTCATTGGGGTGAAGCTCATTATGGCCTATGCATGATCTAAAGCAAAATTAAAAGTACCCTAGTCAGAATAAGACCATCTGGCCAGCATTTGCTATTTTCTAAATTGTATTACAGATTTTAAGAGATGAACAAGCCCCATTATATTGCCTAACTCCACCTGACAATTTGACAGCAAGAAAACACTTCTGACTTACCTGGAAATTACCTGTGTCCACCCTGTATTGATATGTAGGATCATGTACTTCATTAACACTAGAAAAGATTCAAAATGAAAAAGTGGTACTTACACCATTACAAAAGACAAGGTCAAAAAGCCATACTCACCAAGAAACCCACTAACAAAGAAAAGGTTTAAAGTTACTGTAGAGAGTTTATAAGTAAAGGTTTTGGCTGTATAAATTGGTGCAATGCCATTGATTCCAATGGAGTCATGACGACTCACAGTACATAATAGCATCCTCCTTTTTCCCAAACCCAACTTTGAAGGAATATGGAGGATTCCAGTTGTGAGCATGTCTAATCTCCCCGTTTATTTTTTGGAAAATGTATAATCTTGTAAATTCCTACAAGCCTTCAGGATTTAGTGTTTAAATTTTATCCTTGGTGACAAGAATTGTACATAAGAAATTACTGTGCTATTAGCCCTTCCCTCATAGCAATGCTGCTGATAGGGCATTAGCACGAGCATTTCCTGCAGCTGCACTGCTTTCAACAACGTACAACAGCATGGAGAAGGTTAGAAGGTATCTTCCTTCTGAGAAACCAAATAAGAGGCAAACACTTGGGACTAAAACGGTTTAGAAACTACACGTGTACCAAAACTGAGAAAGTTTTCTGTGTGGGGAGTAACGACACCTTCGTGTTAACAGGACAAATTGGAAAAAAAAGAGAGAAACACTAAATCAACCAAAAGAACCAAGTTTTGAGGAGAGAGTGCATAGCTCTCATAGTGTCAATACCAACTGTGCAGGTTTAATAGTTGAGAAAGTTTGGTCAAGCTGTGTAATAGTTAACTACAGAGAAACTGTGGCTTCAAATACTGAAAACTAAATGGGACATAGCGCTAGAGGGAGTGTTGTAGGGAGCAATAACATATTGACAAAGTAGCGAGTTCTAGATCTCACTCTGATATATAAAATTATGTGCTACTAGATCGTCCATGGGGAATTCTGTTTTCAAATCAGTCACAATTTACAAAACAGAAAGATGTAAGAATTTGAACTTCATTCCTATATCACAGTCGGAGCATTAAGAAACAGATACCACTAATTCTGAACAATCTTCTCAAACACTCTCAGCTCATTACTTTGGCACTAAATTTTAAATTACTTACGTTTGCCATATTCCCAGTGTAACAGAGGCCAGCCACAACAGTCCAACAATGAAGAATTTGGGCAGATAGAAAGTTAAGCACTTCCTTTCCCCCTGTTAAAACAACAGTGTGGTGAAGGAGTGAAACCACATTTGAGATTTCATTTATTCTTGACAGAATAAAATAACTACCATCTTTGTTTCATTCAACATGAACTAGATTGAGACTCTCCTTCTGTATTTTTTAACCTGCACAGGTGATTATGGAAGACACAAAATTGTATCACCGTTTGTGTTAATAGGATGCAGTACATTCCCAGCATCCTATTTGTAAGGTTCCACATATTTCACTGATACTGCAAATACAGGAATATGCTCCAGAAATTCATATTTATCTTCTGCAGTATTTTAAAGTGGTTTAAAACCCAATCAACCACCATATACACCAACAAAACCCTTCAAGCAAGAACAAAGCATAATGGCATCACAATTCTGAAGACTGTCTTACAATAGTTCAGAGTGGACTGTCCCATCTATCTCATTTAGGCGTGGTAGCCTCAAGACAATCTACTTCACCACAGATCATTTTAACTCCTAAGCTTTGTGTCTCACATTGTACATGTCTCTCTTTTTTAAAATTTGGCTTCATTTTTGTCACCTTTTGAGAGAACTGAAAACAACAAGTACTGTCTTCTCAGCAAGCAGTAGATAATGTTGCACCCTTACCTGTACTCTTATACCGTGGTAGACACAAAGCCAGAACAGCAGCAATGCACACAGAAACAGTGACTGGAATAGATCATCCAGCATTCCAGGAAACCAGCTGTTCACCAGAAAAGAAAGCGGGAAAAATGGATCTGTAACAAAATAAGAAAAAAAAAAAAAAGTTAAACAGAGGGGGAAAAGGACAGTCTTTTCCATTATGAAAAGTAAAGCAGAATGTGTCTTCAGAGGAACAAAAAAACCCCTTAGATTTTTCAAATTACACCAGTAAATGAAATTGAAGTTTGCTGTATTTTAATATACAGAGAAAATGGTGCCTCCAGCAGCAATCCTCTGTGCTACAGAAATAATCCGAAATGGTTGCCATAATTTCTGGAAGACTTTCTCCTAAACCACTGTTCTTGGTGATGACCTAAAAAATTATCATAGAAAGACTGAAAGGCATTTAGTACTGCTAGAGTGCTAGAATTCGATGTGGTGTACTGGACTAAAAGTAGCTTTAATTTTTAACTAAAGTGTGAGTACCTGAAAAATGAAAAAGTAAGACTTAGCAGACAAACAAGAAATTGCATTTACACATCGCTATATGAAAGGTTCAGTACGGCTGCAGCCACCTCTTCCAACCAGAGCTTTAAACAAATAGAGCTGACATTCACATGACTGAAAAGAACGATATCCGCCTACTCGTTATGCCCTTGAATTTGATACACTTAAAAAATGTTGTTGCTTTATTTTTAAATTAGTTTTCCAAAGCCTTATAAACAGCTGCTTGTAAGTTCAAGACCAAATTCCTTTTGCCTTCTGTCTCACACGTGCGCTCTCTTTTTGTTTCTTTTTCTTTTCTTTTCTTTTTCTTTTTTTTTTTTTAAAAAAAGTAGCTTTTCTAAAAATTCGAAGATACAAGTACCATTGTAGAGTAGCAGGAGGGGAAGGAGGATGGACATCCACTTCTGTTCAATACCCCAGTCTCTCATGGAGAATTTCCGCAGGGAATGTGCAAACAGACACTTTAAAACAAAAACACAACAACAAAAATGTGTAAGGAAGGAATACAGCCTTTAATAGTTTTACCAGAGTAAAGAGGTAACACAGAACATGGCAAAGGCTGCTTCCCGAGGTCTTTGCCACCGAGAACACTGTAAAACAGAAGCCACATCTCCTAGCTTCTACTTCTGCTTCAAGTTTGCTGGCTTAGCCCAAAGCAAATTACTTAATGTCTCAAGCAAACGGAGAAGAAAACCAGCTACTACCATGCAAATCAACAACACATGAAAAAATGTTGCCTAATTACTAGTCACACACCACCAACAACTTCTCCTTAAACTCACTTTTTAGAAAAACAGATTCCATATCACATTCACAGTTACCTGCTGAGTGACATCATCAGAGAGTGAGAAAAATGCTATGCAAGTGTTCAGAGCTTCAGTGTCCTTACTCTCAAAATTCTGCATTTTACATTTTATGTTGGTTTTTTTTTTTTTTTCCAAACACTTCTTTTCCACAGGCCAAACAGGTTGGAGGAGAGAGGTTCTCTAAACCGTAGCATAATTTACGTTTTAAGGGACTTCTGGAGGTCATCTGGCCCATCCTAACACTCAAGGCAGAGATGACTTTAAAGTTACATCAAGGTCACATTCAGCTGAGTTCTGCTCATTTTCAGAAATGCAGAGCCCACACTCTGGGCGTCCTATTCCAATGTCTGAGCCTACCTGCACTGCAGAATATTTTTTTTTTCTAGCATCTAATCAGAATTTCTTTTGTTTAAGCAAAATTCTTTCTGTTCAATTCAAAATCAGAGTTTAGAAAAACAAGTTTTCCCATTTATCCTATTTTCTTAGTGTCCCTTCAATACCACTTGCAAAAGCATAAAAGGAGCAACTACGTAAGTATTTTAGAAACATTTTTTACATCCATTCAGTGATTTCTCAACTCAGCTGCCTGGGGTTAAGGTACTAAACGGCACTACAAAGCAGTGTTATCAGCTGCCTACATACTATACTCCAGAAAAACTGAAGCAAAATCTTACCGTGACTGTAAAAGTAAGAACTACAAAGACAAATCGGAACCATATTTCCACTTGTGAAAAAGTTGGATTGTAGGTCTTCCACTACAAGAAAACAAAATAAAAATAGCCCCATGAACAAAGCTTTGACAAGGTACATACGACATCAATAATTAGCACTTTCTGCAGATACTGAAAAGTTCTCTGGCTTTTCAAAATTTAAAGGTATAACCAAATTCCACCAAGTCACCCTGGAAAAACAAAGACAAATTTATAACCATAGGACTATCTGATGAAAAGATAACCACAGCAGCCCAATATCCTTGCTTCTCTTTTACCCTGCCAGTTTGTGACATACTTGGTTTGCTGTCATATGTTAAAGCACTTCTCAGGACAAAAAGGATGTTCTTCATTGATTTCAATTGCACTCTCACTCGAAGTTTGAATGACAATAACTGAGTAAATACAGTATGTTCTTCTTTATTACCAAGGTCGGATGCATAAATTGATTATGAAGAGGTTGATAAGGTACAGCCATGCTTCCTGTAACGGGTTTGTTTTCTTAAAGCTTATTCTCATTTCAGAAGTGGAAAAAAAGAAAGTCAAGGAAGAGACGAATAAATGAGTTAACCAGAAGTAAAGAACTTTCTTCATTGATTAAGGAGGAAAAGCTTCTCCTCTAATTTTTAGAAGGGCACTATTAATTATAACATGTTAGTTTGCACAAACTCTGCTCTGTTCACAATTTATCTCATACCTGGCATGCTTCTCTTTTGAAGCCGCTTTTAAAATGTAAACTCCCTGGTACAACGTATGCTCTGCCCATCTGAACAAGAAGCTTTGCCTTTCAATATATTAAATCTGTCAACCTCTGTCTTGTCTTTTTAAACTGTAAATGTAGAATGAAAATTACATGTAGAGAATCCCATTACACAAAAGGCAATCTATGATTTCAACTGAGAGCACCATAAACCATTGTAACAACAAAATAAATCAACAGTTTTAGTGGCTGTGGGAAAGCAGGGCTTTGGGTTTTCTGGTTTTGTGCACAAGTCTGCCTTTAAGCAGCTTGCAAAGCAAGATAATAAACTGTACAACTATAAAAGCTCCAACACTTCGTCCTGTTTGAAATCCAGAACTAAGCAAACGGTTTGTGAGTTTCTGGGTTGTTTTTTTTCCCCTTAGAGCTCATTTTTAATGATGTGCTTTATGCAACAGAATATCACAAATATTAATATTCGGGAAGTTCATTTAGTATACAAAACCCACTTTTGCTTTACTGTAAGATTTTTGCTTGCTACTACCTGCTCTGACATACTGAATGTTTCATACACATAGAATATACCAGAGTAACCTGTATTATAAATTTGGTTTAGTTTCATTTTTTCCCCAATGCAAATATTTCTAAATTCCTTTCTGGAGCCAGTCAGCACACACTGATGATGTAACTGTTTCATAAGCGATCTTTAGCACTACAAACTGAGCTAGTTATTTCACTAGGGATTATTTTAATGAATTATTTTGTTAGCCTGCTTATTTTAGTTGAATAAACATTTCTCTCTTCCTCATAACCACAGTCAAAAAAAAAAAAAAAAATCTTTTTTCTTTGAGTTTGCTAAATCTTTCTAGCCCACGCTTTTGTAAAGTCTGGAAAAATCTTGTTAGTTCAGATATACATCCTGGAAAGGCTGAAAAAGATACCAAGCTTTAGAGAGGCAACATCTCTATAAGCAAATGCAGAAAACTGGATGTTCTACTCTAACTTGTCTACTGTTAAAAATATCTCCCAGGTATTAGACTAAATTTATCAGTTCCATAAAACAGCATTAGCAGCTCTGAAAGAAAAAATTGGTCTAGACCCTTATTAACAGCAAATGCTATAATAGTTCTGACATTAGCAGTGACAGAAAAATTAATTACGATGCATCTTTATGCTTAACTTCAAAAATGAGCTAAGTTTTTTATTACAGTTAAAGGAGACTTCTACATTCTTAATAATTGAAGAGGTTTCTTTTGCTAGTACAAAACTTTATACTTACTGTGAAAGTAATATTCTGGATGGTGTATGTTAACTTATTTAGATCTTCAAAGCTAACAAATATGTTGTACTGAGTGTAGTTCAGGTAGCCAAGGTGAGCAACAATGATTTCACTGCATTTCTGTGAACAGATACAGTGAAGAATAGTATGTAAAAGCCTTCACTTTATTCCACAATATGCACTGTTAATATAGGTTGGAGAATTTGTTTCTAAATGGTCAGATATTTTTATCTGATGATGATATCTATTCTGTGTTTTACCAATCTTGATCAGTATAACGCTCAAACAAGAACCACAGATAAATAATTTCTTGAAAGATACCAGACAAAGCAGAAGAAACTGATAAAGTCAGTCAGCAGGATCAAAGGCTGAAGGATAAACAAGGCTGGCTTTTCACTTAACCTAGTGAAAGCAACTGCTTGCAGCAGCAGAAAGGATCAGAATAACTCTGCCAGTCAACCTCTAAGTCATTGGACTGTGAGATGGGACTATCTTAGAACCGTTTAGGTTGGAAAAGACCTTTAAGATCATTGAGTCCAACCATTAACCTAGCACAGCCAAGTCCACCAATAAATGATGCTCCCAAGCACCACATCTAGAGGCCTTTTAAGTACCTCCAGGGATGGTGACTCCACCACCTACCTGGGCAGCCTGTTCCAATGTTTGACCACTCTTTCATGTCCAATCTAAAC